CCTTCGCCGACAGCCAGTTCATATATCGCGAGATTGGTGTAATGGTATTCGAAAGTCATGGGAACTGATCACTATCAGCTACCACTAACTTCCAACTTCCCGTCAGGGTTCGCCACACGACAAAGACTTACCTGTGAGCATATCAAGCGGGAGCTCTTTACGCCACGATAGCATACGATTGTCAAACCACCTCAGAACGGCTTGAAGGCGCGACTCTGTCAGTGGCGCGGTTGAACTGGTATCGTCGAGACCGAAGGAGGCCATCGACTCATCAACTATCCGCTGGAGATCAAACCAGGTGGCCATGTGCCTATCTACTGCGTTTGGTGATCGCTCCAAGTGCTTCACACACTCAGCCATCCAGTCGTTGAATAAGAGCAAATTCGGTCGGCGCGTTTTCATCGCAACTCTGTATATTGGTTAGCACAACTGCGTCTTTTGCACGAATGCTTGCCTTACATAGACGTCAGATGATAGCAGTACAGTATCGTCCTAGCCTGTTCCGCCATTTGCTCGTCATAAGTGACCCTTTTGCTTGCTCTGCGATCGTTGGTTCTGTCTACGCGACGCTTTGAGGCCAATCCAATCTCCAACGCCATTGTAGCAGCAATGTGCGTGTACTGATAAAACTGCAGCTTCAAAGGCGAGTCGGGTGGGTGATAGAAGACGATCATGATTAGCAATGCCTGCACCAATTCCAAAGACTTATCTCCATTGATAAAGAATTGCTCCGCATAGACTCGGATGATCTCCCGGTTTAGGATGGCAGCTAACTGGCCATCCAGAGCAACACTCGCTGCAGCGACAACGGACAGGAATAAAACCGGCGCTGAGTTGCGCAAATGAGTGGCAGTCGTATGTGGGGGCAACACAACTACCGGCGCAAAGGCCGTGAGTTCGGTCACATAGAAGGCAACCAGCTCATTCGCGTACTCGAGCGATAATACGCCTCGATCGATGACATCTTCCCTCGGCATTGCATCGTATGAGTATGGGGCTGGCGCTGGATTGGTGATGGGGGCATTCACAGGACCACCATCATAGGTATTCGGATATGGGGACGTTGATGGAAAGCTGGGTGAGAAGTCCATCGGTCGAGGTCGAGCTGAATCTGCCCCGCTACTATGATCCTCTGCAATAGTGGAGATGGCCTCGTTTGGTTCAGTGGCCAATTCAGGCTCCCGGGAGTCCTCCCTTTCGCTGCTCGCACTCTCTGCACTGCTTTCATCGACCCGCAGCCTATCTTTGAGGAGTGATCGCATCTGTCGCATCTCCTTTTCCAGCTGGGCTACCCGAGAGTCAGTTCGCTTACGCGGCCGCCGTCTCTGGGGTGCCACAAAGACACAGGTTCTGTTCGCTTTGGCGCATCGTTGACACTGATTGGGAGTTGAGGCATCGGGTAAGCAGCGGACTTTCAGGCCGCGACATGATTCACAGGAGCGGTTCAATTGCGGGGTCGCGGCTGGTTGAAGAACGAGGTTTGAGTCGCCCGGCAGCATATTGGGTGTAGCCGACATCTTCTGGCCCCCACGTTGCTCTTATCGTGCTGCAGGATATCTAGATCGGAGGCGATCGACGGTAGCTTAGACGAAACAGGAGTCCGAGGGTGAGGTAATTTCTAAGGCGGCACTCGATAAATCTCTTAGCAGGTGTTCACAATGGGCCTCATTCTTCTCGAAAACGTCATGTCAGACTGGTCAATTGGGATGGCTTCAGGCACAGGTATGGAGGAGTGGTGTCAGGGTCTCCATTATCGGTGCCGTGAATCAAATCGAGGGAAATAGGATCAAATGACACCTAGACGAGTCAGTCGCAAAGCCCAGGCTGGACTTCTGTGATCAAGCGATGCTAGTCAAAACCAGCAATTACTTACCTAGAGTGCACGTTTGTTCACGGAGGACATCCAATTGGATGCCTAGCGATAAGGATTTCTGCACAAACCGCCATGTAACCCAGACAGTGATTAAGGTGTTTTCCAGGGTCACTGATATGCAGCTGAAGAGTGCAGCTGGAACAGTGGGACTCGAATTCAAGCCTCAGTCATGTGAGGCTCCAGCTAGTAGTCCAGCTACTGGGGGGGAAGGTGGGAGTGGAGAGAGGGGGGGACAAGAAATCCCCTGGCCTTCTTGATCAAACCATGAAGGCTGATAGTCTAACCAGTGCCATTCCCTCTGAGGGGACTTGGCGAATCCTCTGTCCTGGTTAGTGCAGTCGTTTTAGTCAAGTTCAGGTTGTCTGTTTGGATGACTGGGAAGGCGGAAGTGGAGAGACAAGATCAACTAGTCTTGATCAAGAAACACCCGGAGAGCTCCGCGGACACTGTATACATGCTCTCAATGGAATTTGTATTGAGGGATCTGGGGTTGGGAGAATTCTGGGAATGAAAAGCGGCAATGATAATAGCTGAGAGTTAGTTCACTCACATGCTACCTACGTCGGAAGCATAGTACATACAGAACCAGCAATGAGCAGGTCAATCAGGGGAAGACAAATTGTTAGAAGCAACATCCACAGGTTACGTAGTATCGAATCGATGACCCCTCTAAAAATCACACAGTAAGTGTAGACTAAAGAGAAACTGAGCAAGGAATTTCTTATTGGAGGAGGCTAAGAACATAATCCAACTATAGTTGATAGAATGTCAAACTTGACGAATCACCGCCCTTGGTATCCGGTGCTACTAAATTCGGACCCTCAGAAAAAGGCCCAGTCCTTCCACTCCTTGCACTCGCTGCTGCCCACGGGCAATTAATCCGCCGACCCTACTGACTGTGTGTTCTTCTGCCTTCTAGGAATACAAGTCCTTTTACAGGACTATGCACATACCTGAGTATAACAAGTGGCATTACTTGAGGTAGCATGAAGTACTGTCCAGTACTTGCCAAAAGTACCTGGATCATTCCATAGCTTAGAGTTATGAATCTACATCATGATATAACAATAGAATTATGCCGGTGGCCGCATTCACATCAAAAGAGATGTCTTGTAGATATGTACACTATATAAATCTCTTCGTCAAGGCAACACACGAATTCGAAAGGACGAACTCGAAAGGAGGGAGAGCGATTGAGTGTGATCGGTATACGCAGGATGACGACTGCCAATGTTTTATGAGCCCATGCCCGCGCAAGGATGTATTTATATAACCTGTATGGAAGGACGCCAAGGGCGGCGCTATGATAACAAGTGGGCGGTACGGAGTATTCGAGACCTGGCAGATTAGATGGCTGTCATGGGCACTATACAAGCATTCGGGGGCTTGCCAAGAGATACCCGGGGCTTGCGATCCAGGACCGATCTCCCCAACCGTCAAAGCTGGAGGTACTGGCAACTGTCTACTATTTAGACTGTTGTAGCTACTCTTTGACTCCACAACTCAAAGCTTACGTGGATCAGGACAGTTCAGTGTCGCAGAAATAATGACTACCTGGCCTTTAAGTTGGGGCGTCAGGCTGCGCGTGCTCATGCGAGGGGAAGATGCCTGGCAGGATTTGAGGAACGCAAACACTGTGATCAGGTCCGTGATCAAGCTTTAACACCTGGAGCAAACCTTCAGCAGTCCATTCGGAGGATAGTCTTTTGACATGTCCGACATTTTTCATTGAGACGAGATGTACAACAACAATTGTGGAGGTCTAAGCACGTCTGAATCGGAGACTAGACTGCAAAGAACCACATCATGTCTGTCGGCCAGACCCTCAAACCAGCCGCAAGAATAGTGCAAATGTTGCTGGAGGCTTTGAGAAGACTGACAGACAACACGGTTCCCCTTCGTCATGTGGGGAAATCCCCCACTTGGATCCCGGAAAGATTTTTTTGCATTTCCAGAGCAGCAGCGGCAGCGTGGAGATTCCATGAATCATGCCTTGACTTTTGATGAAGTTGACGGCAACAGCTGTCGATTTCCAAGTTCCGATCAGTGACCCCTATCTTTATATCCCGTGTTTGTTCCCGACGACAAAAGAGGCCAGTTGTCACGCGAGAATGAGAGGGGGGGGGAGAAAGTAGTGGTGGTGGTGGTGGTCGAGAGGTAAAGAGATTTGGGGCGCGAAAATACCGGGCTTAGACTATGACGCGGCCCCAATCTTCTGGATTGAGATACCGAGACCGAACCCCCCAGCCGCTATTGAAAAAAGCCAAAGGAATGGCTAGGCGGTGTTGCTTGTTGCCCTGCTATTGGTGACTACCACCGCCTGCTGACGCCATGGTTCCTCCAGCACGGGCGTCGTACGTAGCACGGTGATATGAGATAAATTGGAAGAGACGTACATACAAGCGTACAATACGTACATACATACCCCGTGTCTGTATGGTATGTCCGCAATTCGAGAAAAGGAACAGTTGAGTTTGTTGTTGTGTGTCGCTGGACCTCAAAACTCCCTCCGAGCAAGGAACGGAAGAAAGATAACTGTGGAAAGTAAAAAAGTGAGCCGGATCGGCACGGTAATTCCATCCCCCATCGCCAAGGCTGGCAAGGCTGTCTGTTGCGTCTGTTGTCTGTACGTACAGTACGTACAGTACGTAGTGTCCTGCCGCCCGCCCGGTTCTTGCCCGTCGCCACCATCGTTACTTAGTTGGTTAGTGGTTACTTACTCATGTTAAAATGATCGGAAGGAACGGTAACAACAGTAATTGAACTTGGGTTAGTTGGTAATTGCGCACGCGACCCCCTCGTCCTTCTCTTAGAGTCTTTACTATTCTTGTACGCTTGTTCCTACTGAGTACGCATTTTCCCTGCCGATCCCGGGCACTGTGGATCTGCTCATTCTCTGTCGTCTCCGACCTTGTATCATTATTCATTATTATTTGGTTGTGATCCTTGCTCTTTCAGCGTCTGTTCTTTTTCCCTTCCTATGCTCTTTCACACTCGACGCCCCTTCTGACATATCATCCCATTCTAACCACATATTCTATCTGGCTGCCTGACCTTGTCATTCTCCTAGAGGCATTTCTCTTGTCGCCCACGCTCATCCCTAGAAGTGACATCGGCACTGCGATCCCGCCCATACCGTATCATCACCAGTCTCCCCAGTCCCACGTCCTTATCTCCGTCCGGGCTTGTGCAACATAGGGTCAGAGCATGCAGTCGCCTTCTTGAATTGAACCAGGTTGAACTATATATACACCTATATTTATATTGCTTAAATATAAATATATATATATATATAAATCATACACTCACATTTATACGTGTCGCACTATGTGGTTCTCTACGCCCCGGTTACTCGCCGGACTTTATGGGTTAACACTGGCTGTCGTGGGGTCATCTGCTGTCGATGTTGATTTCATGAGCGTGAGGCCTACTGTGGCCAAGGAATACTCTGGAAAAGGCGGAGATCCAGGTCCAAAATATTTCAGTAAGTTTTGGCCCTGTCCCATTGAATTGCGCCAATTCGCAGGCTTCCCCGTAATTAGACGAGATGCATGCTGACTCTTTTCCAGAGGAATCAGAGTAGGTCACGATCTCGACTTTATGCTTGGAGTGCTTTCGAATGGAACTGACATATTCATTGGCTAGCTTTCACTACCATTATGACGGCCGGTAAGTGTTAGAATCAACCCGTTGGATGTAGCATGCGCTAACTTGGTTCTTGGTTGCAGCTTTGCCGACAAGCCTCTCTCGGACGAAGAGACTATTCCGCACCTGTCGGAACTCATCCGAACCTATCTGTCAACAATGGCAGACCTTGGTGCCGAGACATGGATCATGCACGGGACTCTTCTGGCATGGTGGTGGAATCAGAAGGTTGTGTCGCCGATTCCCATGGTCGTTGCGTTGTTCCTCCCGCTGACAGCTGATTAGATCTTCCCTTGGGACAATGACCTCGATGTCCAAATCTCTGAGCCCACAATTCACTTCCTTGCCGATTATTACAATATGACGGAACACCATTTTGAGATTCCCGGAGTGGAGGGCGGACGAACTTACTTGCTCGAGATAAATCCTAACTACGTCATCCGGTCTACCGATGATAAGTTGAATGTCATTGATGCGCGTTGGATTGACACTTCCTCCGGATTGTTCATCGACATCACCGCCGTGCGCAAGGATGACGACAGACGAGAACGCGGTGACCCCGGTGCTCTGATGTGTAAAGACGGCCACCGGTTTGATGTAAATGGCGCGCCAACCACTGGCACAACATGGCAAGCTAACCAGCTTACAGGAGACCGAAATCTTTCCGCTACGGAATAGTTATTTCGAGGGTGTTCCCGTCAAAATTCCGTTTGAATATGTCCGACTTCTCAAGAAGGAATACGGCTCGAAATCGATGACCGCTACCACATTCCAAGGGTAAGTTGCTATTCCTGAGTCAATAGGCCATCCAACTAAACCTCGAATTCAGGCACCATTTCAACGATGCCACAGAAGTGTGGGATAAACAAAGGAAACGACAGTTTTGGCGCCGCCAGCCAGTCGACGTACCCGTTCGAACCACGCCTCTCGGGCCTTTGTTTCGATGAAACTCGAAGACTGTTTTAAATCTTTAAGGCCCGGTGATGCATCTGGGCCTGATTATGACAGTTATGATCTGGCTGGGTTCAATTCTCTTTGTATAGTCGTCACTTGTTTGCATATATATGGCGTTATCCTTCGGAACGCATACCATTTATTCGCACGTTGGATACATTCGGCGTTGGGTTCTATCATTCTTCTCCGACCTTCTGTTCTGTTCACTGGGGTCATTTCAGACTTTCTATGTCCCAAATTCTCTTCACTAGAGCCATGTGGCTTGGCTTCCCGGAGTCTGGGCACCTGGACATGTGAGTCTACAGAGATTCTTGGGAATTTATCAAACATATAATCTGGTATTGTCCGAGACATGGCTCAGGTAGATTCGAACCACGGTTGATGCACATATCACAAGGGAAGCAACATGAATGCTGCTGAAGCACATGACCTTTGCACGAGGTCTCAGTCCACGGTGATTGCAAGGACTACGTGTTTAAGATGTGTCACGTACGTGAGGCTATAGTTAAACTATCCCGTCTTCAAGGGCAGGGGCTAATCAATATAGTCCATGGTATAGCCATTGTATAATGTCGGTCGATGATTCCGTGCTGATCGCAAACATAAATCCCATTTGCGAACAACAGAAATGACCCCCACGCCAGTTAGCCTGTACTCAACGATGCTATAGTTAGCTACTTGATATTCATTGTCTCAATGTCAGATGCACGTGGTTGTCTTTTTGCTTTATGATTACGTGAGGAGCCACCGTTCCTGGCCAATGGCGTTGTTCGAGACCTGAATCGACCTTTCTCCCCCTCCCCACTATGAGTCGATGACTGAGGCAGTATTAGTGAATTAGTGAGCTTGGCCCCAATAATAATAATGCAGTAATCCGAACCGATTCATCTCCTCTGGTCTCATCAATAATTTCTTATTTCTCCTTTGTCTCGGCGCACACTTTCCGTGAACCTGTCGCTGCCGCTGCCGCCGTTGACGATGTGGCATGCTCGCGAGTTTGTTTCATCCATAATCTCACCTATACTGTCATGTCCTTCCATAGTCCACCATTTCCAGCACAACAACGCCCGCCTGTACCCACTGTGACCTCGCCAGCCTTATCTGCGACTCACTCCCGACAAGATTCGGAGGGTCTCAGTCATGGCCAGGCCGCAACCGTGGACCATCACACCGACCCCCATTCCTCGCACGAGCTGCATAGCATACGCAGCTGTGTCACCTGCCGTCGGAGGAAAGTCCGCTGCAACAAGCGATCGCCGTGCTCGAATTGTGTCAAGGCGGGTATCGAGTGCATTTTCCCCCCACCTGGAAGGGCGCCCCGCAAATCGAAGCGGCCACAAGATGCGGAGCTCCTATCTCGACTCAGGCGCCTGGAGGGTGTCATCGAGCATCTGAACGAGAAACGAACCGCGTCGCTATCGGACACGCCTTCCCCACGCCAGTCGCGCAGTGAAAACGTGAGCACACAGGGTCCGCCGGCGCCTCACGCAGGCCCCGGCGACGGGGACGGGTGTCCGCTGATGCTGGATCCTGCTAATGTGGATCCCCGGAGGCCTATGGCCACGCGAAACATGGAGCATGAATTTGGACGACTGGTTATTGATGAAGGCCGGAGTCGCTATGTGAGCAATCGGTTCTGGGCCAGTCTCGGTGATGAGGTGAGCCGATTTCTGCCTCCTTGATGTTGTTTCATGATGAGGCACTTTTCAGGTATTGACGAAGGGATATGTGTAGATCGAAGAGCTTCAGGATATCCTCGATCCATCAGCGTCGGAGGACGAGGATTACCCCTCTCCCGAATCGTCGTCGACGCATTCCGCCAACCACGACGGTTTCCTATTCGGATTCTACTCGCTTTCTCATTCCCTTCGCGGCTTCCTGCCACCATCGTCGAAGATTCCGGTGCTCTGGAATTTGTACTACGAGAATGTGGCCCCGCTGGTCCCCGTCGTGCATAAACCTACAGCCCAACAGCTCTTTACGATCGCAGCCCAGGATCCGAGCAGCTTAGATAAGAACCAAGAAGCACTGTTCCTGGCGATGTGCTTGGTTGCGGTTATCAGCTTGTCTCATGAGCAGTGCGTCATTCAATTAGATGAGGACCGTGATACTGCTGTGAAACGCTATCGGTTTGCGGTCGAGCAAGCTTTGGCGAAGGCCAATTTCTTGAACACGCAGAACCTAATGCTACTGCAAGCTGCTGTCATCTTTCTCATTGGCATCCGTCGTGAGGATGATACCAAGTTCGTGTGGTCTATGACGGCTCTCGTTCTTCGCCTTGCGCAAGGTCTTGGCCTTCACCGGGATGGGACGAAGTTCGGATTGAAGCCCTTTGACACGGAAATGCGTCGGAGATTGTGGTGGCACATCTGTTTGTTGGACATTCGGTCGTCCGAAGACCATGGCACTGATTCGCAGATCCATGAACGAATTTATGATACGCGGCTTCCACTGAACGTCAATGACGATGACATCACACCGGACATGCAAGAGCCGCCCCCCGAGAGGATTGGCTTTACCGAGGTGACCTTCTGTCTTATCCGCTGCGATATCACAGTAGCCCTTCGGCGGGTGAGCTATGCCTGCCCTAATGGTCATTTCACCCCAGGTACTCGACCAATCTCCGCGGATAACTGCGGGAACCTGATCAAAGCCATTAATGCCCGCATCGAGGAACGATACATCAAGCATTGTGATATGAATGTGCCTATTCAATGGGTCTGCGCTACAATCGCTCGGCTCATTCTCACGAAGCTATGGCTTGTGATTCATCATCCCATGACTCGGCCTGATCGTGACGTTGCTCTGACGAATGCAAACCGAGAGAGCTTGTTCGCAACTTCTGTGGAGGTTGCCGAATTTGCGCGCCTTCTTGGGGCCGACAAGAACACATTTAAGTGGAGCTGGCTCTTTGCCACGAACATGCAATGGCATGCCATTGCATTTGTCTTATCAGAGCTTTGCGTACGCCCCTTGAGCCCTCTGACCGACCGTGCTTGGGAGGCTGTAAGCAATCTTTACCGAGATTGGGTGCGCAACAGCAAACAACGGAAGGGCATGCTTTGGCGACCGTTGTCAAGGCTCATGAAGCGCGCGGCCGCCCACAGAGCAAAGCAACAAGACTTGCGAACTCAGTTGGGTCTCAATGTAGGCTCTTTTGAGGCTGTGCCATTCACCGGTGGCACTGGACCCTCAATTATTCAAGCCCCTCCCATATTACCCCAGCCTCTTGCACAACGAGAATCCCAAATATCATCTGCCATGCCAGAAGGCGGCACCTTGTCTAATACAAACGTGCTGGATATCGATCTTCGAAAGGGGCCGGTAGACGCAATCAACACTTTGTTCCCAGGCGTTGACTTGTTCTCTCCTCAAGCGGCAGCAATGACGGCCGCCATGGAGCAACCAACTACAACGCCTGGCGGTGCATCGATGAACTCATTCGCCGGACCGGTGCCCATGCAAAACGAGAACAAGCCGGACCCGCAGCTCAATTGGGATGAGTGGGATAGGGTGATGCACGACTTCCAGATGGATTTGCAAGAAGCCAACACCGAAAACCCTTTTGCGAATATCTCCGACTGGCTTGCTTGATGTGCCTGTGCATCAAGGAAGCGCATCATGCACCCGAAGTGTGTTCTATATACCCTCTAATCCAGCCGTGACCCTAGAGGTCTTTCGCCCTTCGCTCGAGCGGGCTCAGTGTTGCGGTATGACTGGCGAACCCTTTCAATTATTCTCATGAAAACCCCCCTCTTCACGTTGCAGAAATACCCCTCTCCCATCTTAATCACGATGAATCGATGAATTGAAAACAATGACTATGTGTATAATAAGTCTGAATGTTACCAAGATATTCCTTGAGGTTGTATGAGACTTGGCTACGGTGACGACCATATTGCAACGTTATCTGTACAACAATGGATCATATTCAGAAGATCCCTCAAAATTGCACATATCAACGAGAAGCGAACAGAACTTCTTGTAACCTACTGGTTGATAAGCCCCGGCCGATAACACCTACATCACGTGATACCGCGTAACGGACAGCTTGCGTAATGAATCCCCGAGGTACTGTACACCACCGACTCAGCCGCCACCCAGACGCTCTCTCAGTCTGTCTCTTTCGCACGATCTTTCACGCCAATTAATTCCATTCCAACCCGAGACGAGATCCAGGCAATTCCCCCCTCCAGAAACCATGCCTGCCAAACGCACAGCCGCCGCCACCGGCCCCGTCCCCGCGCCCTCGCCTCCAACTATACCCTCATCCTCAACCACCACCACCGCTGCTGCCTCGCCCTCCTCCTCCCTTTCCTCCGGCCCCAAGACCCTGACCACCAACTCCTCCGTCCTCGACATCGCCCACACCGTGTGGCAGCAATACCTCGCCACCACCCCGCAGCGCACGCTGCTGCTCGACGCCTTCATGGGCTTTCTGGTCCTGGTCGGCGGCGTGCAATTCCTCTACTGTGTTCTGGCCGGCAACTACGTGAGTTCCCTCCAATTTCCCGTTCCATGTGCTATATCCCAAATCTTCATTGTGTATTCGAGTCAAGGGGGGGGGGGTTTCTTGTGGGATGGAAACCATGGCTAACCGTTTAAATCCGAATACCAGCCTTTCAACGCCTTCCTGAGCGGTTTCTCGGCTGCGGTGGGCCAGTTCGTGCTTACCGCTAGTTTGCGCATGCAGACCTTCTCTTCGACTTCGGCTGCGACGGTGGTGTCGGGTGGGAAAGGGGCGAAAGGGAAAGCTGCTGCTGCTGCTGCTGCTGCGCTGGGGAATGAGACTGGGGGAAATGGGATTTCGCATGAGAGGTGAGTTCGTTTCTTTTCCGGGGGAGGGGTGTTTGTGATTGGGAAGGGGATGTGCCGGTGATGTCTAGGTGTTGGGTTGGATTGGACCGGACTGAGCTGAGCTGAGCTGACTCCTCGTGGAAATTTAGGGCGTTCGCGGATTACATCTTCGGGAGTTTGATCTTGCATTTCTTCTGTATCAATTTCATCAACTGAGCGGATTCCGGTTTGGGGGGGTGGTTGAAGTTAGTGCGATCGAGGAGTGGGAGATTTGGGTTTGGGTGGGATTTCGGAGAGTGGGTTTAGGACTACAGTATCCAGAGGTTAAGATCACTGCGGCTGGACTGGGCGCTTAGTGAAGGTTGCGGTTCGAAGAAGATCCCTGGTGGACTTGGTGCTGTAACTCTGATCTGTCTGATCTGGTCTGGTCCGGCCCTTTCTGGTTGTAAAGTTAGTCGAAGGAAGCAAAAAAGAGTCGATGGTGTCGACTATCTATTTTAGTTTCATCCTCGAGAGGCACCTGATTCCAAGCCATGTTAGTACTCGAGATTCCGTGGGATCTACTTCCGTGATTCATTTATTGCCGGGGCAACTTCATGCAAGAGCCCGGCAACATGCACACGGTTTCCGTTGAACTCTAGATCGGAGGATGTACGAATCCCATGTGTTCATGTTCATGTCCATTTTCATAACTCTTTGCCAAGATCGGGGTATACCTCTATATGTATATGCAACAACAATCAAAACGCCCGTCCAGGTCTTCTTTTCACCTGGGGCTTCTTCACCACGCTTCCCCCCCCTCCTCCTCCTCCCCCTCCTCCACCACCACCACCACCACCTCCAGCTCCAATTCCATTGCGTGAAGAACTGGAGGCAGTCACGCCTCCAACACGGCGGGCTGTGGCAGCCGGGCGACGGACCACGGAACTGCCCACTTCGATCTCCTGCCGGCGTCGGGAGGGGTCGTTGCGCTCCTGTTCCCGCTGCTTTTCCGCGGCGGCCCGTTCCCGATCCGCGGCCATTTGAGTTTCGATCTCCATGCGCCGGTTGAATTCCTGTTCGGTGACTCGGCGCTCGCGCTGAGAATAGCCCTTTTCTTTGACGGAGTAGAAGACGCCTCCGAGTTCGGCGAGCCACTATACACAGAAGTTTCCACAGTCAGTTTGGAGGTCATGGTGGCGAGGACGGGATAATGATGATGGGGTTAAATGGGAATTGGAGGATCAGAACTTACGTGTGGGTCAACAGCCGTTACGGTGGACATATACTCCTTGCTGGTGAGGATCAACTCATGATACACCACGTATTCGGGCACATAACCCAGGCCATACAGAGCACTCGTCGGGTGCAGCTGCATGCTCACGCTAGTGCGGAGATTGAGGAACTCGCCGATACCCTTGACGCGCGCGGCCTGGTGGTAGAATCCGGAGCAGATGCACTTGCGGATGACATCCCAGTCAGTTCCACAGCTGACGAGGGGCATCTTCTGCACCGTCATGATATCGTGCAGCTGGTCGCGAACCTCCCGGGCGCGTCGAAGAGCTTTGGCGTGCAGAAAATGGCGGGTACACCAGCCGTCGGAGTAGCCGTTGGCCTTCCATTGCGTGTAAACATGGAGGAGCGTGAGGTGATCAGACTCGGGGACAAAGAATTTCTCTCGCGCGGCGTCGGATTCCTCCTGGCGTTCTTTGGGGCGGTAAAATACGCTGGGAACGGATAGCATGGAGACGATGCTGAGCATCTCCTCGCTACACCCGTACTCCTCGGAGGCTTTGATCAGCAATTTCGCGAGCGGAGGGTCCATGGGGAATGGAGTCATCCGACGACCTAGGTGGGTGAGGTCACCAAGGTTATCGAGCGCCCCCAAAGACCAGAGTTCGAAAAGCGATGTGGTGATTGTTTCCTGCGGTGGAGGATCCATGAAATCAAAATCCAGGAGATCCTTGACCCCGAGAGACTTGAGCAGGAGGACGGTATTGGAGAGACTGGTGCGCTGAATTTCGGGGATGGTTTGCAAATAGAGTTCGTTCTTGTAAGCGACCTCCGTGTACAATCGATATGCTTTGCCGGGCCCTGTCCGACCTGCACGTCCCGAGCGCTGGTTGGCGTTGGCCTGAGAGATTGGTGTGATCTGCAGCGTATCCATACCCATCCGGGGGTTGTATACTTTCAACTTAGAATAGCCCGAATCCACCACGAACATGATTCCGTCGACTGTCAAACTAGTTTCAGCGATGTTTGTGGCGACAATCACTTTACGCACGCCGTTCTCGGCCCGTTCGAAGATTTTTGCTTGCTGCTCCGCGGGCATCTGACTGTAAATGGGCAGGATGCTGAGCTTTGGTGGATCGTTCAGTAGCTTTAACCGTTCGTCCACCAGTTCGCACGTGGCCTCAATATCCTCCTGGCCTGTCATGAAGACAAGGATATCACCCGGTCCTTGCGATACGTGAATGGCCAAGACCTGCTTGACCGCACTGTCCACATAGTCTTCGCATGGGGTACGCGAGAAGTGGACATCAACGGGGAAAGTCCGTCCAGGGATGATGAATTCAGGAGCGCCGCCGTAGAATCGAGAAAAGCGTTCGGCGTTCATTGTAGCCGATGTCACGATCAACTTGAGATCCCTGCGTCGGGCCAGCACCTTTTTCAGAAGCCCCATGAGGACATCAGTGTTAAGAGCTCTCTCATGCGCCTCGTCCATGATGATGCAGGAGTATTTGTCGAGGTCCTGCTGAACCAACGATTCTCGTAATAGGACGCCGTCAGTCATATACTTGATGACCGTCTTGCTGCTCGTGCAGTCCTCAAAACGGATCGCATAGCCAACCTCTTCTCCCAGGTCCACCTCCATCTCCTCGCTTACTCGTTTGGCAACACTCATAGCAGCCACCCGACGAGGCTGCGTACACCCGATCATTCCAAACTTAGAATAACCGTCTTCGTGCAGAAATTGCGTCAGCTGGGTCGTTTTACCAGACCCGGTTTCACCGACGACCACCACCACCTGGTTATCTCGTATCACCCGCAGCAAATCCTCTCTGACGGCGAACGCCGGCAGGAACTCTCTTTGCTCACGGAGCGTCTTGCTCTTGCTAAATGAGCTCTGCCCGCCCTCGTCCTTTTTCAGGTGTTTGGCAAACTTGTTTCCGCTCTTATATGCCTCCTCCACAGGCACTGCGACCGCACTGTCCCCCTCGTCCTCCTTGACACCCATCAGGTTGCCGAGGGCCGTGCCCGCCATCGTTGTTGCTTCCTGCGCTTGCTTCTGGCGTTCCCGCTGCTGACGTCTTTCGCGCACAACCTTGCTTCCCTTGCGACTGAAGACAGCCATGTCGCTCTGCGGATCCCGAACAGCGGAGATGGGCTCCAGCTGTTTTGTGAAAATCGTGCGACCATCGAGGAAAGGTGGGCGGAGGTCGTGGACTAGCAAATGGACTCGAGTTCCTTCTTCGTCTTCGGGCATAAAGTCACTATCAAAATCTCTTCGCTGGGCGACACCGGACGTGAGCATTCGGTTTGTTTCCCAGTTGTCAATGTCCTTGCGCTTCGCGTCGCGCAACGGCCCTGGCAGGTTGGAGCTTTTCAGCCTCTTGGCTGGAGGCATGTCGTCCGGCGCCATTTTGAATAGTTGGCGTATAGATTTTGAGGAGAGACGAATCAAGTAGCGCAAACTATTGACTTTTGAGAATGTCTGCGAGAAGGGCCACAGCTGATTGCTTGAGCCCTCCTGGCGATGAGTTGGGATAGACTCGGAGGCGGATTCGATTGACTATCGGGCGATAGTATCACCATGCAAACCCTGCAAACAGAGGTCAAACACGTGATTGCTACACACCACCCCATGACGCAGATTTAGAGCTCATTTCGAGGCAAGACAAGATAGCAGTTGCAACCTCAGTAAATTCTAATTGCCCTACGAAAGTCTGAGTCTAGATTTCCACTGAGCTTCAGGTTACATGTGGCAGCGCCGTGGGTGGGCCCGGATTCAGTGTTGGCTTCCAGTTCCCTCTAGCCCGGTCCGCCGCCGCGGCGGATATCGAACCAACGCCCCGCATCGCAACTCCAGCCCAGCTTTGCAAGTACACTGTGTGCATCGAATACCGACAAAATGGCCAGTCAAGCACAAATTAACCCTAAGAAGCAGCAGGGTATGTCTGCACAAGCTTGAGTTCCTGTTATAGCATTCAAGGGTTTCGTGCTGATCGTTTGCAGAGCTTCAGCTCCAGTACACAAATTACAAAAACACCCTGCAGCAGTTAGCACAAAAGATCGGCGATATCGAGCAGGAAGCAGAGGAACACAAGTTAGTCTTTCCCTGTTTTTTACCCTCAACCTGTTCTATCCGTTCAAGCTTGGGTCACTAATGCCAGCGTGCTGTCGCTAGACTTGTAATCGAGACACTCGAACCTCTTCCCAAGGATAGAAAATGTTTCCGCATGGTCAACGGGGTTCTGGTTGAACGGACCGTTGAAGACGTTCTTCCCTCCCTCAAAACGAACTCGGACGGCCTGAAGCAGGTCTTAGATGAACTCCTGAAGCAATACAAGTCGAAGCAGTCAGATCTTGACAATTGGAAGGTTCGTCATTTCATGCCAATCCTCATGAGAAGGACTCGCTCTGACCTGGATCTCCCTTTGCAGAAGAAGAACAATATTCAAGTCGTACAGCCATAGGAAAACAATAATATGAGATTTACCACGGTTCATTGATTACCTTTCATATTTCCCTTGGTGCCATCTTTGGAGGAATCAAACAGAGAGCGGAGCAAGAGCGGCATGATTTGGAGCCCACAGCCTTACTGACAACCCCTTGACTTCACTTCTACTGCGACAATCCATGGACTGAACGGTCGTGGCTCATGGCAGCTGCTATTGCGGAGCTTTGCCAGTTTCGTTCGCCTAGGACAAGGACGATGTGTGGCAGCTAAGCACAAACCAGTCCTTTGTTACAGAACGGTCGGTGCCTTGAATGCACTCATGCCTAATTGTCAGGTTCACCTCTGGGGATGATTCCATATCAGGCCATAAAGCTGAAGCCTGAGGCGCTGATTCCAAGGCTTTCATCATACCTGGCAGCAAATAGTGTATAATACAACTTCCGTGCCTATTTCACCTTGCTTAATGACTTCACCTTTCAGGGTGCATCTCCATCGGTTGATATGTTCTATCACTATTGTTACCAAAATCTTCGTCTACAATGCAGGAATGCTAGTAGTTGACATAGTCAAGAGGGCGTCATCCAGCCAGGAATTTCGCGATAACGCTTATGCACCCAAGAGAAGGTGTGGCTCGGCTGAGTTGGCCCTGTGGAACAAGGCGTCTGAAGTGAAAATCTGCTGTACTCGTCTGCAGTTGGCCGATTCGAGGCCGGATCACAACAGCTGCACGAAAGCACATTGCTCCTGACTTCATCTGATAGAGTCTTGTTCCCGAGATTCCCTACTGGCTGCTTCATGTCAGCCTTGGGAGTAGATCTGGGACTATCCCGATGCATGTGTGTGTGACACGTTCAATGGCTGGCACGCTCTCAGCCAACTTTGTTTGACAGATGATCTTCGAGGCCGATATGCCGACCTTGTCCCTTGGGAAGCGAGCAGCTTGGGTAGAAGCCACATGAATTTTATGTAGTAGAGAGCGGCAAGTGATGGATGCCCTCCTCCACACCTCCTTCGCAGATTGGGCTGCGGAGTGGAACTCTCTGTAGCTTTTGCCTGACCGGTACCTTTTTCAAAGTACATACAGTGCTTCATCCCGAGGGTTCTGGAATGTGATGAGATGAAGAGATGCATGAAGGTTCAGGTTCCCCAAATAGATGGCTGGCCCAGATTGTTAGGAAATGTTGTTGATGCCTGACGCCATGTACCTACAGTACACGGTCCGTCAGTCCTCATAGGGTACGTAATGACATAAGAGATCGATACAGTTTAGTCAACACGGATCCTGAGACAAATGACAGAGCAAGCGAGGTGCTATTTGAGTCCTATGGTATCTTTGCTGAGGGAAGTTTGGCCGGCCCACTTGTCCGTGAGATTGATTGGAGCATTGGTCTCAAAAGGTACAGCTGTGTACTGTATGTATAGAGATAAGAAGTAACCGATAAACATATCTGCGCATGCAAGAGCGATGAGACCAGGTCTCTTGAAAGGCGATAGAATTTGCTCAGCGTCAGAATTCGGTATCAAGCATGCACGGCACGTAGAATGTACGAATGTCCCTTGCTATTGTCGCTGTCGTTGAATAGGCGTTGAAGATATTCCAGTATTGCAGAATGAAAGAAGATAAGGCCGATGGCCAAGAGATCCGGGGCCGATGACGAGTGTCACGTGCTTTACCGTATCAATACACCCCTCCTTCTCGCCCCTGGTGACCTTTTTGGGCGCTAGTCCTAGAATAGAAAGTGACAGAGCGATACCGCGTTAGAGGGGCGTTATGGAAGTCGTCCTGAGGCCACCGATGAGCGTTGGTTGCTGGTTTCCCACCGCGGCTCATCGACTCTCAACTTCCTCTCCTCCTTCCTCTTCTCTTCACTCAGTCCGGGACATTGGGCGCAACCAAAGTCGTTCATCGAATTCCGTTCATTGCGTCTCTTCGAACAATACTCATCTATTGAGTGCTTCTCGGGAGCAGGAAACAGTGCATTGCAAACCGCGTCAAAGCTCATTGGCGCTTGGATATATTCATCGCGACAGCCAGGGACTTCTGGTTCGCCAATTGAGAGCTGCGCGCATTGCGGCCGTCTCCAGTCAGACCTGCCCTAGGCCCCCCTCCCCCGGTGCCTGTCATTGACTGGCAAGTAAGCCCATCACCTTTACCCTTACGTTTCTTGCATTTCAGTCCAATCGCTGTCGCGCTTTGGCTTGCTTTTCTTGTTGGTATCTTGTCGCCCAGCTGCGCAACGTGCCACTGCCCCCCCCCAAATCTTGTCTGACCCACGGTTACTTCCGTGTTGTATTACCCGCGTCATTTCGCCCTCTTGACCTTCTGCCGCGTCCATGAATGCGCGTGCTGCAAAGGGACTTTGGACTTTCAGCTTGCTGACGTTACTATCGCCTCTAGTTCGACAGCTCTAACGTCATTCAGACAGCAATATTTCCGGAAGACCTAGATCGGGGCTGCTCCAATTATAGCAAGACGAAAAAGAAAAGGAACGAAGTCCAAGATCAGCTGTGTATGTTTCCAGAACCCGCCGCAAGCTTGCCCTTACTTCACTGGCCCTCGAATCAGATCGTCCCGTTCATCTCATTGCAGCCAATCTTTAGACCAGCAATAATAATAGAGCAATAACAAACAGAGTCATCTTTCGGACCGTGTCTCGTCATCGCAGTCGGAATAATAGATCCTACCAGGCCGTGCTCAGAACGCTAAGGCACACACGCACTTTCGCGGAAGCGCTGCCAATCCCCCACACGCGTTGTCACAGTCATCCTTCCCCGTTCAGGCTGTTGTGAAGCGAATCGCTGCCCAGCCAGATACACCTTCAGTACCCTTGGCGCGGCTGTATCATAACGTCCAAGATCGAGAATCCACCACGCCCTGTACGCAGCTCTGACGTGGTTTGCCAACAGAGCAATTAGAGACAGCCTTTCCATCCTAAATCCAGTCTCTCTGCACGTTCTCCCGACAGCTAAAAATCATGTCGTCGACCTCCCCCTCGAAGGAACCGGAGGTGGAACCGGAAGTTCAATCGGGTGAAGACCAGGAACAAATGGACAAAGACCAACAGGACTCCCAGGCGCAGGGTCAGGGAGAGTTCGAAGTAAAGGAGCAGGACAGATGGCTACCAATTGCAAATGGTTAGTTGCGTTCCCTTGCAGCTTGTCGCTTCGTCCTGATTTGTGCGTACCTTACCTTCACCTGCTGGTCAACCGCTTTTTGCCCTACTATGATTGCTCGTGCCTCTCCACCGCCTAGGAGGCCGGTTCGGTCAATCGTCACCATTCCTTGCTATCCTATTCATCTGCCTGCCATCATCTATTTCGGGGATTGATGACCACGAGTCTTTCGGCTCATGTCCCTATTTGTCGTCTGCTACCACTGCCAGCATGCATCCGATTGGACAGACATGTCTACAATATGCTATGGCATGCTGGGTGCATTGTGCCCATATCCACCTCATCGTTGATACTGCCGCTGCATGCCTGTATAGAATACTGACATCGCCTGTGAAGTGGCTCGCATCATGAAATTAGCTCTACCTGAGAACGCGAAGATCGCGAAGGAGGCCAAGGAGTGTATGCAGGAATGTGTGAGCGAATTCATCTCGTTCATCACCAGTGAAGGTCTGTACAGTCCACATCGTCACAATACCAGTTCTGAAAACTGACCGTCGAACCTTTGCGTAGCTTCCGACAAATGCCAGCAGGAAAAGCGTAAGACGGTCAACGGAGAGGATATTCTTTTCGCCATGACCTCACTCGGTTTCGAAAACTACGCAGAGGCACTGAAGATCTACCTATCGAAATACCGCGAGGTAAGACCTGTGCAACGCATCTAGCCATTTTGCCCATCGCCCCCAACTGGCGATAGCGTGTTTTGCTTAAAGAGAACACTGCTGATCTAATCTGCAGACCCAATCCGCGAGAGGAGAGCATCAGAACCGTCCGACAAGCAGTGGGTACAATGCCGGCGGCCCCGTAGGAGGCCCTCCCGGCGCCGCTCCATCCGGACGGCCAGTTGCAGGCTTCCCTGATACCACGGATGCTGCCAATAACATCATCAACCCAAGCTTGGACCCCTCTGAGCAGGATGCTTCCGCCTACGGCTACCCTCCCATGGTCGGCCAAGCCCACAATGGCACTGGCGGTGAATCCTACTAGAGTAAGCGTATATGTGCAGGAGAACCATCCAACTGACGCAGTGCAATCATATTGGTTCCAAAAGTCATCAACCATATCCCCACAGATGATTTGCACCCTGTGTCCCAGAATGCACAAAGGAGTCAAAGACCGGTTTCACCGTGTATCCAGTCCCCTGAGGGCTCACAGTAACATACACGGTCCCTTCCCACAAACGTTTCGAAATACACTTCCGGTCCTTACTCCCCTGACAACGTAACGTTCCCCAGGCGGTGCGGCACGAGAGCTTCATTAGGGATTTGTTTACCTACAGAACTTGTGACGAACGGAAAGTGGGTGCGAATTCCTAGCAATTCGACAGGTTCAGATCTCGGTTTACGGGCGGCGCGCTTATTTTGTCTGTTCGACGGTTGTTCCTTCTGTTACATGGGCTGCGGCTTCTCACTTCCCTGATTTCTCCGGGCACATCAACTGCCTTTTATTGTATTCCCCTCTCTGATTCCCAGTTTTTATTCTTTTCCTTGTTTCTTGTGGGGACTCACCCTGTCTCCTCAATCAATATAAAAGAGGCTGTTTTGCATGACCTGGTAGGCCCGGGCATGCTGGGTCCCTTCGATCTGGGATCATTTGTATTTATCTGTCTTCGTCGAGTGTCTCGTCTACATCTATATTCATCTGCTATTCTTAGCTTATTTGTATGGACACATGCATTCGGGCGGTGGATATTAGTGTTGGCAGATAGAATGAAGCTTGGACTTCGCTGTCCTTTAGTGCTTTCACGGCACAACAAGCTGATTGGAACCGAAGATTGGTATACTGAGTTCTGACAATTCCATTCGGAGAAGCTATTTTATGATAAATGCAAAAAGGTCACCGATATTTCCCCCGCATTGGCGGTGCTAATAATCCATGGAAAGCCGGGGCAAAGCAATGAGAAGGTCATCAAGTCATTATCGTTCGCGCACAGTCCATGTTCTCAGACAAAATCCGGGTAGCTTCAAGACCAATGATATGTGGCAAGGACGAGTACGCCATGAATGCAAGTGCAATGCAAATGTCAGCCGTGCATCCAGCCCCCATCATGCAAGAGATCCGACAGTGGTGTCTCTTGCCAGTAGATCTGACGCCACTCATCTTCCAGTTCAGGAAGGCCCTCCATGGCCATCGGAAGAACGGGTTGGTCCATGTCTGCGAAAGAGAACAGCTGCCGCCAATCGAGAGATTCGCGGGGGGCGTCCAGAGTCTCTACCGGAGTCATGTTCGTGGCTGGCATCCAGTGATCGATCGCGTGATTCTGTTGAAGGCCCGCAGAGGTGGTGGGGTTTGAAACATGTGTCGACTCTGGAGTCGGAACTTCGTAGGGGACAGGCTGTTCCTCCTGCTGTTGTGGGATATGTGTAGCTATTGTGCTTCTGGAAGAGCTAGAGGATGAAGTATGGGTCACAATCTTTTCTCGTTCATGGGAATTGCTGAAACCACGGGGTCTTTCACTTGTAGCCAAGCGAAGATCCTCCTGAAGGCGCTTGGAATCTTCAAACAACCGTAGGATAGTGGTGGCATGGGACCAGTATCCCGCCAGTTCGCGAAGTGAATAAGAAGCTGAATCAAAGCGACGAAGGGCATTAATCGCTAGGACAGGATTCGAGAAGCGAAGCTCCACTCGCACTTGTATCATTGCTGTGAAAAGGGTATGAACGGCAGAGTACCAGAGAGACTTTAAGCGATCATGGAGACGAAGTTCTTCGAAAATTGAGGCTATAACACCTGCAGCTGCACTACAGATCTCAGCATCGTGTGGACCGTAGTCATCTGAATAGGCAGAGGCTCTTGGGTGGGGTCGGTGTAGTAAAATGAGAAAGTTGTTGTAGGTCAAATGGAGCATGGCAGACCATGGGTCCATGTCAGATGCTCGTAAGCGTAGTTTATCTGGAAGCTTCAAGGACCAATTAGCTAGGCTCTCATCGGCCTCGTGCAATACCGCTTTGCGACGTTCCGGGTTGACTCTCAGCCCGAAACGATTGCGAACAATGTAAGATATCATTGTGCAGAGTTCTGAGAAATGAATCACAAAGTCTGTTTGAACCCCGGGTCCACATCCTTGGAAGTCTGAAAGTGTTAAGGAGGACACATCTGAGTCCTCAAGATTACTTAAAGGAGCTGTCAGTCATTGGCATTGAGTGTAAGACATCTGGACCACTTACATAGCTTGTGGGCGTCCATATGAGAGAGACACCATGACATCAAATTGGACTAGGATATGCCAGAGCCTCCTCCACATACGGCGGTCTCGTGGAACAAATCGGCTTGACACAGGATTTCGATGCATTCCAAGTCCTGTGGCAATTCTAGCAGCTACTCCAACCCAGTAATGAGCGTTAGCTGAAACATCATCATCAGGGCTATCAGAGTGCCAAGTCAAGAGCAATGCTGCCTGAATCATGATGTCGCGGTTTCGCTCGACACGACTGTCGAATAGCCATTTAGCTCGACGAAAGAAGATCTCTTTGAGTGCATCACGCTCGACCTTTTGCCGAGCTACGTGTGCTCCGACTAGAAGTATTGCTTGAAGAAGCAGGATTGGCGGCGGGTCGGCAGGATCCCGATTCCGGTACTGTGTCATGAAGAGATCCTCGTCGATGATGGGATACCCTGGGTTGACGTGATCAAAGTAAGCCTGAACCAGTTCATCTGCCAGAGCCGGTTCAGGTAGGGTGAGAGCATCCATCAACAGTTGATCGTGGCCTGTTCTCAGTTGCCGCCGAGGTATTTCGTTTCCAGCAAAGTGGTATACGTCGTCGACTTCATCTCGCTGTTGACGAATCAAAAAAGACATGTTGGACAGCTCGTGACCGACATAGATCGCTCGCACACCCCGACGAATTTCCCGACTACCTGATTCTTCCTCGTCGATCAGTTTCACCAATCGTCTTTCCAAATCCGCATGTGAGTCCTGTTCTATGGAGAGCTCCGATTCCGTTGGGCGATGGTATGTCTGGGCATCGGAAGTTGGTGATGAACTATGATGCTGGCGTTGGTGATCAACATTATCATTGGTTGTGCGATGGAGCGCATGGACATTAGCGAGGGAAGTGGCAGCTGTCACAACGTCCGGTTGAACGTTGCGGAAGGTAGTCGTGAAAGCATTTGGCGGAGCAACAGGAGAAGCAAGATTTGATGATTTGTGCGTGGTTTCCGAAGCAGGAGGTGGACGACAGCGAATAGGTACAGGGTTCAAGATCGAGCGTGTAGCCAAGCGTTTCTTTTTCTCATGGATGCGGCAGTCTGACTTTCCCGCGGAGCGGCAATTGGAGCAAGGCAACCCGACAAGCCGAGCATCACAGCGAACCTTGCGCCGATGACAGTGGATGCAGGCGGCAGAGCCTAATACAGACAATGATGAGAATCCGACTATTCCAGACGCGCAGATGATGAGCCAGAGTGAGTGCATACCTGATTTGCGCTTAGTCACGCCATTCCCGGTGGGTGGACTGTTATGCGCTGCGGAGGACATAGCCGAAGCATCGATATAGATTCCAGGTCCGGAGACTCGTTACTTCGTTACTTCGTCATGCATAATCAGATGAACGAATTCAGGGCACAGCAACTATGGCATGATTCCGTCCTATAATTCGGTCTTCGTGATTAAAGCTATGAGAAGACAGGACAAGAAAGGGATTGAATGAGTGATGATGAGAGAGGAAAGAGGAAGAGGTAGGAAAGAAAGAGGGAGACACGCCGACAACAAGCGGGAAAGCGAGAGAGTGGAATGTGGGGCAGGAACGAGGCCGGGTCTGGGGGAGTCACGTGACACATGCGGAGAAAAAAGCCACGGTCGGTGCCTTACTGTAGGTTTCCAGAATCCGCATGGAATGTCGGATTCAATGGTCCATTACGCTGCTTAGGAGAAGAATGAGTTTATTCCCATCCTCCTATCCTCCCCTTCGTCAACACGCGACATGTTGTTCCAGAAAGACGGCTTTCTTCCGGTGACTGTGGAAGGAACCCAGCAGACCCACCTGGATAACCTTAGTGTTAAATTTGCATGACTCCCTTATCAAGCGGCCCTATCAATTGTGTGTGACTGGCTCACTGCCTGCGCCAAATGGGCCCTTATCAATTCCATCCACCCTCAACAAATGCTTCTTTCAACAAACCGATACGGAAAAAAAAAAAAAAAACACTAGAATTAGTCAATGGATGCGGTTCCATAAGCAGGAACTCGTACTCTAACCGTGCATCTTTATTGATCTCTAATTAGGCCCATTCTAACCGTAGATATAGCGTTTCCAATTGTCGGCAAATTGCTGAACTCCATGATCCAAAGTCCAACCACGAAGCTCGCAAATTTGCCGGCTGATCTGCTCCAATAGATCGTCCATCTGTGGTCCGGCGGTGTGCAAATCACTTTCAATGAGGACTCTATCATCGGGCAGAGCCTTGATAACGTCCATTACCTTCTGAGATGACGGGTTGCTGAAATTGATGACCGCGGAAAACGAGAAATAGACGACGGAGGGAGTTGATGGATGCAGGAATTGCTTCACTGGCTCCACGGGTCCCGAATAAGAGTGCATGCAGATCCGGGGTGGGAAAGGAAGCGGCCTCTTCTTTGCTTGCGCTGAGTCCGATTGTTTCTGGGTTTCTTCGTCACTCTCAGCAGAAGAATTCCATTGGTTCTGCTGACGATGCCTCTCCCGCCGTGATACCTGTTTTTTCTCATGGCCAGACCAAAGCTTCTTGAACAGATCAAAGACCGCCCCATGTGCTTGAACACTGTGTACAGAGACTGGTCGACCTAGCTCCCCAGCAAGACGTAACTGCGCTTCAAGGACGGCCTTCTGGTGGCTCAGCTGCACCCGATGGGGACTTAGAGTCCTGCCCTCACGTGAGCCGGGCGTCACTGCCTCGTCTCGCCTCTGCTGGTCGTCTGAAGTCCACGCATTGGGCAGCCGAAACGCGCGATCAAGGCCGATTTCGCCCACCAGGGAGCTGGGACAAGCCTCTAGCCGTGAGCGCGTTTCTGCGATCAGCTGCGAAAGCGGCTTGGGGTCTGGCAAAGAAGCGATGAAATCATCTTCCGGTACCGGTGTAAGGACTTTCTTGTAGTGTTGTGCCTTTCGATCGTCCCGCGGAGAACCGTCAGGTTCTGCAGAATCTGTAACGTCGTCGAGGATCTGGTGCGAGAACCACGGATGCCAGCCAAAGCATGGAAGCACAGGCGGTGGTTCTGTGCCTCTCGGTTCAGTTCTATTCTTGCTCAATGACCTCGCAGTTTCGAGGACCAAATCTTGATCTTCTCCCCGGGTGGCCATGACCGTCAGCGTCGTTGCCTTCATTTGCAGAATCGTTTCAATTGACGACATCGTGTCGGTGGGATGACAATGAGCGTCGTAAACACCCAAGTGCCATGGAAACTCGTCATTGTGCTTTGTGTCTGACATTTAGATAAAAATGATTGTGAGGGTGGCGAGTAATAGGTAGAGAAATTGGTGAAGACGGAGATCCGAGATGATGGTGGTATTTACAGTACGAGGATGAGGATGTTGTGGCAGTGACGTAACAGAATCGGGTTCATCAGAACCAGACCATGTAGCGCACCGACTAGGATCTTATGAGTTGCGGACCCTTTGCATTTTTCTCTGATGAATGTAAGCCTATAACTACAGGCTATGGGTCAATTGCCACAGCATTGCTGTGTTCGATGGTCGAATTTTTTCCATGCCTGGGGCAGCCGGTATCACATGCACTTCTCCGCAAATTCGGAGAATTCGACTATCCCGAAGTAGAAAATCCACCAGAAGATCCCTCCATCCGTTGTATAACTCTCTGCTTTTCAGATCAGATCATGGTGAAAAGACTGGAAGGTCGCTTCTGGCCTTGCTTCTGATACAGTGCTGGTCCATATGTATCTCAGTTCATGATTCAGATCCACCCAAAACAACCACAAGACTGTTTCTCCAGTGCCTACCGTCTTCATGTCTACCTCTTTGTCCGTTCTCCTCACACTTCCCTTCCTAGCCATCATCTCGATCCCCCTCGTAATATCCGCCTGGATCACGATCAGCCTCTCGCTGCTAGCGCTCGCTCTCAGACTCCTCATCATCTACCTGGAGCTATGCTTCGCAATCATCGCGAACTTCTTCGTGATCCCGACAGCAACAAACATCTCGTTGCTGAATCTATCCGCATCCGAGCCCTCGACGCCCGCCTCTTCGACCCCGAAAAGACACTCCATAGACCATGGCACAACGAGGCCTCCACCACCCACCCTGACGGTTCATCAGCACCAACATCACCATCATCCCTATCATCATCACAGCCATCACCTGGCACGCTCCCTGGCACGCGCCCAAAACACTAAACGCCCCAACCACGCCACCCGGACCAACAGCGCCTCCACCTCTTCCGACGACCAACAAGATTACAACATCTCGCCCGCCCGCTTGTGCAAAGAACCCTCCCAACGCAACGGACACGTCCCTGCGTCTGCTGCAGCAGCAGCAGCGGGCCTCCTAGGCCTCATCAGCGGCGACTCCGGCCGGGATTTCGAAGGACTCGGCGGCTGGCGCTCACCACCGCCACCACCACCCAGCACATCCACATACCACCATCTCTCCGGCACCCACTCCCCAACAACAACCCCGAACGGCCTCCTCAGAGATGACAACAGCCACAACAGAAACGACGACACCGACGGCGAAGACGAGCGAGCCTGGCTCTCCATCAACCAACGCCTCGAGCTCCCCTCGCAACCCCTGACCCTCCGCAGCAACAGCAGCACCTCAGAGCTCGTGGAACCCTCATTCTGGCGCCCACGACGCCCTTCGCAGGAGCAGCACCCACCCCCGCCAACGCACCACGGGGGTGACCGACATCGCCACCATCACCGCTCAGCAACCACCTCCTCGCTCCAAGTCTCCAAACTCTCGACCAGCTCCCTATTCCTGTCCCTGTCCAGTCGACCGGAGCCCGGCATAGCAGCAGCAGCAGCAGCAGCAGCAGCACCGCCCGAGCCGCCCCGCGGTCTTAGAGCTCTTTCTCCGTTCTCATCATCAATTCACCAGCCACCCTCTTTCCCGGAGACAGCACTCTCGGCTGGTAGCCACCCCTCCAGTGCAGTTCTCGATGCACCAGCCGGTCCGGGTGGTGGCGGTGGCAGCGGCGGCTACTTCGCCGCACGACCCACCGCGGCGAGCAGAGCTAGTCCCAATAGCAGCGGAACCGTGACCCCCGTCGAAGGAGGGCAGCGGTCCCCCCGGCCACCGGGCAAATCGATGGTGCATTATTCCACGGGCCTGCGGTATCGCCGGAGAAGTATTTCCGGACCCAACTCGGGCGTCCAATTCCTGCAGCCTTGAAGCGTTCTTGGTCTGGCTTGCTGTCGTAGGAGGGTTGGGTATGTGTCGATTCAAGAGCGACTGACTAACTTGATCGAAAAGGGTCGTTCTGATCTTGGGGACATTCGTGGTTTTAGTTTGGATGCATGGAAAAATTCTGTGTCATTATGTCCTAGTCGATTAGCCTGCGCAACCTATTATTCTTCTAACTTCGTGATATGCATATACGAAAGCTTGGTTTCAACTTAGCTTGGATTCGCCAAGACAAATCAGATTGTAACTGATGTTCTTCTTTCTCGTTATCCTTATCGTTAGATCAAAGACATTGTATAGTGTAGTATAAGTTATACTATATTGACAAGAACATTGGAATCAACAACGCTTCTGATTAGTCCAGCAAAGCCACCGCTGCAAATGATCCAAACTCCTTATGACTTCATCACTCCCAGGGAAAACCCACCCAAAGCCGAGCAATCACTGAGAAAGCTTACTCTCTTTTCGCTCTTTCCTTGCGTTCTACCTCTTCCATCTCAGCCAGGACCACCCGGTTGAACTCCTCCCACCCATCGAGGTAGACGTGATGCCCGGAGTTTTTGATGATCACCACCCTGGCCGAGCCATTGTCCGCCTCGCGCTCTTCCGGCGTCGCATTCCGGAGGGCACGCGCCTTTTCTTCGTCTAACTTAGCTTTGGCAGCGATGCCGCCTTTCACGTCCATCCAGTCGTGGTCTCCGTACATGAACACCACGGGGAGACCGTTTTCGCGTGTGGCTGAGGGGGACTGTGACGAGGACGAGGGGACAGGGGCTTCAGATGCTGCGGCCTTGGTTGAGTCAAGGATGGTGGAGGCGGGGGATTGGTTCTGCTCGATATATTGCCGGCCGACGCCCTGAATGCGACGGATCAACGGGCTGCGGGCGAATGCACCGGGCGCCAAGATGTAAGATAGGGCGTATTCACCACTGCCACGGAGGCTGAAGATCGAGTAGGAGTAGTCGTGCAAGGCCTTGGCTTCGTCTGCTGGTAGATGCGAGAAGCGGCGAGAGGTCCATCCGGAGACCAGGCGCGGGCCGAGGGGTCCCGCCCACCGCACCAGGCTGAAGGGGGAGATGTTGGCATCCCAAAGATAGGCGAACCATTTAGGAATCATCCGGCGAGGAGGGCGGTCTGGGGAATCAGTAGGAGCCCCTCTGAGGAGAATGTTGTTGTCGCCCTTCTGGATTGCCTCCGGCACGACCGAGGAGGCTGATTCGGCGATATTGCGTTGATTCTGCGTAAGCTCGTTGGCCACCGTAGAGGTTTCGGGCATTTCTGCCTTCACTGCGTAGGGATCTTCGGGAATGCCCACGGGCGAGGCGAGAATCAGCTTGTTCAGACGGCCTGGGTATTTGA